CATCTTCAACAAATGGTGCTGGCAATACTGGATGCTGATATGTAGAAAACTGCAGATAGATCTATATCTATCGCCATGTACAAAACTTAACTCCAAATGTATCAAAGACCTCCTGAAACTGAGAAGCTTATGTAAGGCAAAGGACACAGTCAGCAAGAGAAAGCGGCAGCCCCAAATCACACATACTTAAACTACGAAAGTATTAAGTATCCCAATAATTAACACGGTTAAAGACTGTCATATAAACCCTGACAGTAAACCAAAATTATTTCAAAGACTTTCCTCCAGGTATATAAAAATAAAATGTAATGAATCCATACATGTAGATGTAATACAATTTAGTAGAGAAACAGTCTTCCTATTCAATGGAAACAGTAAGAAGTTAGTTAAATACATTACAAGTCAGGTGAAGAAACTCTGGAGTCTTTTCCAAACACTGCTAAAAGACACTATAGTTCTGTCTTTCTCAGTTACTATGGATCTGTCACCTCAAACACTATGTATGCTCACCCAGTGCCTCATCATTGAAAAGCACAAGTCAGCAGCAAACTGTCAGAAGATACGCAAGGATAACTAATATATGCAGCATGTAGCAACTAATCTCCAAGCATGCCCACACATCCAGGTTTCACAGTTATGAGTTTTGCACAGAAAGAAAGTATCTGTGGTGATAAGACTTGGCCTGGCACTAAACAAAAACAGAACTTTTACTGTAATTATTCTCCAAGCAATACAGTGGAACAACGGGCTTCACAGCATTTACATGTGATTAGGTATTTAAGTAATTTAGACATGATTTAAACTAAGCTATATGCAACTGCTGCATCATTTCATGCCAAATATACATTGTGAAATTAATGTTTTGTCTATATATTTAATGTACATATTCATATTACACAACAATAATCACCAAATACTTCAGTAATTCAAAACATAAATCTGACACCCTCCAAACTGTCCATACACCCTCCTCAAACCATAGAAACCAGCAATACTTCTGTCTCTTAGAGAAGAACTGCATATAGTAACATTTTACGTGGTTTTTCATACCTAGCTTAATTTATATCACGCAATGACTCAATTCCATCCATGTTATGTTTTAAGGCCAATAATCTGTCGCACCTGCCTGCGCAGCCTGCATCCGAGAATGTAGCGAGGTGGTCAGGATAGATGACACAGAGACCGGTCGGTTGATTTAAGAAAACTTTATGCTTCCCAAGTCAGCTTAGGAGGAGACCCCCAAGGAAAAAAAAAAAACCCGCTTCCCTTTTTAAGGACTTCTGCCATCCATCTACATACAATTCTTCCCAGACTTCTCACCCTCCTGGCTGGTGGTTTAATCTCCAGCCCCAGAACCCAGAACAGGGGAGAAACCTCAGGGAGCAGGAAGAAGCATCTAGCCTTAAGGGGGATCAAAGTCATGGTGTTTCAGTGAGCAAGCCCTTATCTGAGCCCTATCAAGAGCTTTATAGCACTGAATTGTTTTCAGTAAACTATCTCACAGCTGCCTGCTCCCAGGCTGAAGGGGAAGTGGGTTTCTGCTCAAGGTCTGGTGTCCCCACAATAATCTACTTCATGTATAGCTACACTGTGTTCATCAAGTTTTATAGTGATTGACAATGTTGTAGTGACAAATAGTAATCTCTCTGCTACTCAAGAAACCATTGGCAAATATAGCGTGGTTCTTCTGCTCTATCTGGAGATAAAAGATGATTTAGATTATTCAAACAGTGAGAGAAAATACGGGATTAAGCCATGCTTCAATCTTAGCTCATTCTGACACAAGACTGAAACTGGATAAATGATTGAGTACAAAATTTATAGACATAAATGTAAAAGAAAATCAACAAACTGACACAAATTATGCCAGAGCATTAATTATGAGGGACAAATGCTGTACCTACTTTATTTTTCAATGAATATGTCCCCAGCTCATGGTCTATAATGCAAACACAGGTAACTTAGGTAAGATCTAATCCAATATAACTTGGTGGATTTTTTTAATAAAATAGAAAACTGTGTAGTTATACAAGGGGAGAAAAGAGTCACAAAAGTACCCTGGAAGGGAGTCTTTCTCATGGACTTCAGAAGGACTCACATCCTGAAAACTCTTCATGTCAAGTCTGGTATCCAAAACTGTTCTAGTTTGTAATACTGTATTAGAGCAGTCTAAGCTTTACTATTCCTTGTTTTACTTTCTCAAAAGGTAAACGAGCAGCCAGGCACAGCAAAGCAGCCTGTAAGGCAAGAAGGTCCTTCTGAGATCAAGAAAGATCAACTTGGGCTGCACAGTGAGACTCTGTTGACTCAAGATTCTTGTGTACAGTCTCAAGATAAGAAACAACAAACCACCCACTTGCTCGTTATTTTAGAACAGCAAGAATCTTCTATTAGAAGTCAGTAAAACTCCCACACTGTTTTAAGGTGGATGGCACATTTAGTAAGACGTCAACAAAAATGAGACTTAACCATTCCCCACTGCCTTATTATCATCACTGTCCCATCTATAGAGTCTGTGCTGTGCTCACTTGTCTTTAGCACATATCTAAAGCCCCTTTTTCTCTTCACACCATCTTCAGATTGCTCACAAACTTCTGGCCAGCATCCTTGAGGTACTTTCTCTGGTTAAAGTATTTCAGTAAATTACTTACAAGAACATGATGTTCTCACACTGTAATCCCAGTATTCATGTGGCTAAAAATGTGAAGTAACATGGGCCACACAGCTAGTGCAAGGGCAACTCGGGATGAATGTCAGGGTTTATTTACCTTCCAATCCCCACTATGCCACCCTCCCCCACAAAAGAGAAAAAACACTAGCTTTTTTCCAGCTCAATTTGTAGATGTGCACGACCTCAAACAAATAAGCTGCACCTAGTAGCAACTCACGACGACTTTTGGAGGATAGGTTATTTAAGTAATTAATTACAATGAACAGAAAGAACATTAGTAATAGCATAAGTTATCATTAAACACACAGTAGCATAGGCATGTTCCCTTAAGTAAGTCTAAGCTTATTCCACCAAAGTACTAATTATCTCATGTTTTAAATAAGGCGCAAACTGTTACCTGTGGGTACCTCTTAGCACATACATGGCTATCCTAGAATTTTTATTATGGAAATCCTAGGTAAGAGTTCTTAAAATGTAAGCAAGCTACTCAGGAGAGGCCTATATTTTATATATAATTTCTAATTAATTTCCTCAGCACTTTCTTTTTTACACTCTCAACTACTGCATTAACTGTTTCATAGGCATACTTTACTAGAGTCTAGCATGCTAGAATTAATTTTCTCTAACATTTTCATTTCCTCTGATCATTCAGTTGTATGCCTTAGGAATAAAACCAGGTTGTTGGCATTTCCTTATTTTATTTTGAGCAAATATTTTCCACTCTAAATATTACTAAAGTATAAAAGGATATTTTTGGTCAGTTTATATATAAAATTCTAATGTTGCTATTTCTACTGGGTCCCAGAGAGAATGCTTCTTATTAGTCCTACAATTAAATGATTCAGCAACCATCCACATTATCTCTGCCTTTTAACAGTTCCAATCAGTAGCAGATCTAGGTGTAATCAACAGCAGCAGGGGGCTTTAAGAAGCAAAACAAAACAAAAGCAGTAGGAATCTTCACTAGAATGCAGCAGTTGATCCAAGGGAACATTACAGACTATTCCAAATTAACAATAAGATATTACAGTCTGATTTTATAATCAGAGGAGAAATAAAGTGGGTAACTTTTAAATATTTGAAAAGAGGATAAATTTCCAGCTGGTAGTAAGCTGAGAGAGAGAGAAAGAGAGAGAGAGAGAGAGAGAGAGAGAGAGAGAGAGAGAGAGAGAGAGAGAGAGAGAGGGAGGGAGGGAGGGAGGGAGGGAGGGAGGGAGGGAGGGAGGGAGGGAGGGGGAGGAAGGGAGGGAGGGAGAGGGAGAGAGAGAGAGACAGAGACAGAGAGACAGAAAGAGTCAGAGAGACAGAGACAGAGAGACAAAGATAGACACAGAGAAAGAGAGACAGACAGAGACACAGAGACAGAGACAGAGAGACAAAGAGACACAGAGAGAAAGAGAGACAGACAGAGAGAGAGACTGTCTTCAAAACGAGCCTCTTGAACTCTGAAGGGTCATTACTTCTGTTTTGGTTATTTAGCACCCATTTAGTTGACAGACTAGTGTTCTCCTTACCTCCTACTGCTACCATACCTAACCAATTTCATTACCACATAATTATAAAAATTAAAGCATCTCAGAGAATAACCAGCAGTGCTCTCACTCTTCTTCAGAAACATTTAAATTTTTACCAGCACCATCAGGACAATCTTAAAATGTAATTTAACAAAATGTTCCCATTTCTTTCATTTTGCTGTTTCTGCTAACCCTGCCTACAGCTCATGGGATGCAGTTAAGTGCAGTGTCTGCTGCCAGCCGATAGCATGCAGCTAGCATAGTGATGTATTTATACAGGGAATCAAAAGCCAAAGGTAGTATTTGATGACTACAAATTTTAACTACAAAAGAAATTCACAAATGGGAATGTTACCATAGTAACAACCTAAAAACACTGCACACGAGGATAACTGATTTCATGATAAAATTCTATAGCTGTTTACCACAGTACACGAAGGAGGCATCTATGAGACTTAATTCA